CTTCGATTCCGCTCGAACTCCGTCCACCCCCTTTTCTCGAAAACCAATGTTCCAAAAGTGCCCCGATTTCTTCAAAAGTTAGGTTTCAGTGGCCCCTTTGATAAGCGCTTGGTCGGAAAGAATCGTATCTCAGCTTAGAGGACCAGTGCGCGTGCGAGATACAGTGGTGTAAACGGTACAAGAAATGAACTCCGTCCACCCCTTGTCAAACTGCATATTTAGCATAAAAATCAGGTTGTGCCGCAACAAGATTGATCAGAATGAATTGTGTCGTCACTTATATGCATTGAATAGGCACCACAGTCCGTCAGACCGCATTTAAATCGTTTTTTTTGAAGGGGGAAATGGCGAACATAACCTCAAATTGCCGTACGGCGCATGGCGCCCATACGCCTATGGTTGCCTGTCTGCCCGGCGCTTCTCTCTGTTCTGTTCAGCGCTGTGCTGTGCACTTAGCTGGGGATCATTTTACTTTCTTCCACTTCTGTTTTGACCACTCTTTGGCATTATCTAGGACCGTTACCTTGGCTTAGAACTTGAAAAACCGGCAATTTGAAATTTGATTATGAACTATAAATTTCTCCCAATCTTTTTTGGCTGTCATTTCTAAAACCGTGGGCCGATTCGCGGAGGCTTCGTATTTTTACCCTTCTAGTAGTCCCATATCGCCTCCGTGCAAAAAGAAATTTTTTCGGGAACCTTTTATTTCAAAAGTATCCTCGGGCTAAAATGACAACCTACGCTGATAATCACCCACTTGCGGTTTTTTCCATTCGATTCCAAATTTTATGGGAAAATTGGGAAAAATCCAAAAAGTTGAAAATTCCTCACCGTTTCGAGCAAACCCACTTTATCTTCAAAAAAGGGGACCAAATTCCTCGCCGTTTCACAGCAAACCTACTCAATCTTCAAAAAAGGGGACCGACCGACTAAAAATTTTTATTCGCCCCATCGGTAGGTCTGGTCAAGACATTTCCGAAACTGTGCCGCAATCGGGTGCCCGTCACCGGCAACATCCTCAAAAACGATTAAATAGGCCTAAATTCAACAAAATCCGCTCAATCTTCAAAAAGAGGACCGACCGACTAAAAATTTTTATTCGCCCCATCTGTAGGTGTGGTCGAGACATTTCTGAAACTGTGCCGCAATCGGGTCCTCGTCACTGGCAACATCCTCAAAACGATTAAATAGGCCTCAATTCTACAAAATCCACCTCTATCTTCAAAAAAGGACCGACCGACTAAAAATTTTTATTCGCCCCATCTGTAGGTGTGGTCGAGACATTTCTGAAACTGTGCCGCAATCGGGTCCTCGTCACCGGCAACATCCTCAAAAACGATTAAATAGGCCTCAATTCTACAAAATCCACCTCTATCTTCAAAAAAGGGGACCGACCGACTAAAAATTTTTATTCGCCCCATCGGTAGGTCTGGTCGAGACATTTCCGAAACTGTGCCGCAATCGGGTTCCCGTCACCGGCAACATCCTCAAAACGATTAAATAGGCCTAAATTTAACAAAGTCCACTCAATCTTCAAAAAAGGGGACCGACCGACTAAAAATTTTTATTCGCCCCATCGGTAGGTCAAGTCGAGACATTTCAGAAACTGTGCCGCAATCGGGTCCCCGTCACCGGCAACATACTCAAAATCAATCATCATTGTCATCAAGAACCTATAAGCCCCAAATCCGACGGACTACTCTGACTCCCCTCATCATCAATCAAGCACCGATATAGCCCCAATCCGACTGACTGACTCACTGACTGACTCACTCACTCACTCATAGAAATGTTTGGGGTCAAGGAGTGGTCGTAGAGACCTGCGGGTTTTTCCATTCGATTCCAAATTTAATGGGAAAATTGAGAAAAATCTCAAAAGTTGAAAATTTCTCACTGTTTCCGAGCAAACCTACTCAATCTTCTAAAAGGGAGACCGAATGACTAAAAATTTTTATTCGCCCCATCAGGAGGTCTGGTCGAGAATTTCCGAAACTGTGCCGTAATCGGGACCCCGCCAACGGGAATTGGGCAGTCATCATCACGAATCTATATAGCCCCAATCCGACTGACTGACTGACTCACTCACTCACTCAAAGAAATGTTTGGGGTCAAGGAGTGGTCGTAGAGACCTAAGGTTTTTTTCCTTTCACCTCTATCCTTTTAAAGCAGTCTTCAATATTTTCCGGACCTTGTATGCACCCATTGACTGCCACAGTAGCCAATGCAATACAAGCTATCTATTTGGGCAGTAAAAGTAGCCTTATTATATGGTCAAAAGCGGTTAAATAGAGCTTTCAAAGAAGCAGGACATTTACTTCCTTAGAAAATTTGCCTTCCCCACCACGGACTTACTGAAAATACTTCGGCACGCGCTCCACACATGCGGGGGTCTGGGGGCGGAGCCCTCAGCGAGCAGCGCGAGTTGCCTTTATATAGGGTCTTGGGGCACGGCTTTGGTAAGTCTGACGACCTTGGGCTTTCAAATTAAGAGTTTTCTAACCATTTCGGTCATTTTGAGTCGGGGAACCCAGCGGAATTCTCACTTTCGCAAAATAAGAGCTGGTCTAACGGCATGGGCTCGCTATCGCTCGCAAAAATTGGAAATCGCATTGAAAAAACTGCAAGTCTCTACGACCACTCCTTGACCTCAAACATTTCTATGAGTGCGAGTCAGTCCGTCGGATTGGGGCTATATAGGTTCTTGATGATGATGATTGATGATAGGTTCTTGATTGATGAGGATGTTGCCGGTGACGGGGACCCGATTGCGGCACAGTTTCGGAAATGTCTGACCAGACCTACCGATAGGGCGAATACAAATTTTCAGTCGGTCGGTCCCCTTTTTTGAAGATTGAGAAGGTTTGCTCGGAAACGGTGAGGAATTTTCAACTTTTGGGATTATTCCCCATTTTCTCATAAAATTTGGAATCGAATGGAAAAAGACCGCTAGTCTCTACGACCACTCCTTGAGTCAAGGTCAAGGCTTGACCCCAAAATTCTATGAGTGAGTGAGTGAGTCAGTCAGTCGATTGGGGGCTATATAGGTTATTGATGACATCAATCACTTTAATTGTAAGTATATGGTTCCCTCGTCATGTTTTCTTCAATTCTGTGTAAATAGTCTCACTCAACAAAGCAGCAAACCACGACGCACTGCAAGAAAAAGTGTGGATAGTACAACAAAAATTGTAGAATGTACAACGAGAATGTACAAAACCACAGAGAGCCATGGACTGCACAGCACTCGTCATGCGGTTCCATGTACTTTCTACAACAATTGTTGTGCTTGAAAGTACACTAAATTCCTGAAAAAAAATTTGTCAGAAATTTGTGTATTTTTGTTGTGGTTATTTCCTGCAGTGCTTTTGGTTTGAAAAACTTTATAAACTCTGGAGGGATGGTTTCAAAACGCGGGTGAGTCTTGTTCGAGGAACATGAGCACTGAAAGTCGCGAGGTGGATCGAAGTGGTCATGGTGTTAACTGAATCAGGTTTGACAGGAAGTCAGAACGTTTCGTGTACAATTAGTGCAAAAGTTTTGTCCGCGTTCGAAAATGGACACAAAGTGTTTTTTGAAACTCTCCAGAGTGTAAGACAAAAAAGCTAATGTCGTTCGAAGACCCTTTTTCAGAATGGCTGACAATTTTGGAGTTAAAGGTACAAAAGTGAAAAGCAGCTCCGCTATTGGTCAGTGTCTCGGCTCGGCCCCCCCCCTCTCCGTTTGTTTTGCGCTGACGAGCCGAGCTTTGCCATGGTAACAGCAGATCCAGATTCCAATTTCTCAAAATTGGTCACATACTTTATCACACTTCAGTACTGGAATCACTAATCTGCCAAGTCTGATCAAAATCGCATAGAGAATTTCCGAAGTACAAAAGGGGACGGGTTTGGAAAAAAAAATGCATCCCGGGGGATCCCTTAAAGGCTACTTCGTGCCAAAGTAACCCGGAACTCCCAAAATTGCCATATGGCTACACTGCGAGAAAAAAACTACAGAAAATCCTGTTAATTTTTTCACAGCGTCTCTCTGTCCCCAAAACCACAGTGATCTCCGTTTTTTAAAAGACGGAGCTCATTGTTTTTTTTTTGGTTTTCATCTCTCTGTTGTCCGAGCGGCCAATGCCACATCAGGACGGCATGGCCGAAGCCTCAGGGTCACCGTTGGTTCCCCGAGGACGTCGACGGGCACCTAACAGGGTCCCCGATGACGATGCGAGCATTTTAGACCTAGGTTCCGACCATTCGTTGAAAAGGTCTCATCAGGATCTACTCGAATCAAGAAAAAAAAAAATTCTTGTCAACCCCCTTTTTTCAAAATTTAGTTGACCAATCAGGATTTTAAAAAAAAGGGGGGTTGACCAAGAAATTTTTTTATTCCTGACTCGAGTAGATCTTGACGAGACCTTTTCAACGAATGGTTGGAACCTAAGGTCCAAAATGCTCGCATCGTCATGGGGGACCCTGTGAGGTGCCCGTCGACGTCCTGGGGGACTCAACGGTGATCTATGAGGCTTTGGCCATGCCGTCCCGATGTGGCATTGACCGCTCAGACAACAGAGAGTTTAACAAAAAAAAACAACAGGAGCTCCGTCTTTTAAAAGACAGAGATCACTGTAGTTTTGGGTACAGAGCGACGCTGTGAAACAAAAACAGGATTCTCTGTATTTTTTTCTCGCAGTGTACAACTAAGAAAATCCAATGTGAGCGGCTATGAAATACGGTTTGATGACTTGGCCCGATGTCAAGGGAACGCCAAAAAATGCTTCATTATTCCGTAAAAGCCTTGTTTTCTAAAGGAAATTCGCTAGCGCTTGAATTAACGACAAAATTTTGCGGCCTACAGGGGGAGTAGCCAATGTTGCCATGTGGCTACAACTCTAAAAGGTAGATGGGGCCATTCTAGCGTGTCTCGGTTAATATGTCTGGATCGATTGAAGTAGAAAGTGGAAGTATAGAGTGTGGCGAGTGAAGGCCAGACCGAAAGCCCCCGCAACATCTCCCCTGGAAGGGTTGAGAAAACCCAGAACGCACGCACGGACTCAGATGAGTTTTTTTTTTTTTTAATTTAACCCCACTCGAGTGACTGTTTTCGGTAACTTGTAGAGACGAAGCGGTGGCAGCCAATGCTGGTAGCCTCCGCTCTCGCAAGCGAACTGCGCGCGACAGATCAAATATTCATGGCCATATGAACGCAAGAGACACATAGAGACGCAAACCCCATATCGTCCCATCGGAAGCCGTCGCGCGCTCACGGCCTGTCAATCAATGCAAAGAGTACCGTAGAACGGGGTACACTCAAAATGTCTTACAATAAAATTTGGCCTACACTTTTAAGAGAAGTCGTTATTTTACAACAGTAACCCCCAAATTAGTGTTGTAATTTTACAAAAAACTAGGGGTAGGCGCCGTTTAGTTCGGGCGCGTAGTAGGCGAGCGATGCGTCTGAACACATTCTTTAGGGGAAAGGCGAAGAATATGTGCAGAATAAGGCCAATACAGTGTCTTCCGTCACGAAAGGGCCGGAATTAATGTCATTTTCGTGATTATCTTACTGAAAACTGCAGGAAACAATGGGAAACTCAACTTTGAAATTTTGGTCACAAATTGGTAAATTTGGGAAAAGTAAAGGTCTGGGATGAATTGGAAGTCATTTTCGTGATCAGCACACCAAAAACTGCAGGAAACTATGTAAAACTCGACTCAAAAATTTTTGGGCCAAAATTCGTAAAATTTGGAAAAGTAAAGGTCTGAGATGAAAATTGGGAAATCATTTTCGTGATCAGCACACCAAAAACTGCAGGAAACTATGTAAAACTCGACTCAAAAATTTTTGGGCCAAATTGGTAAATATTTGGAAAAGTAAAGGTCTGGGATGAAATTGGAAGTCATTTTCGTGATCAGCACACCCAAAACTGCAGGAAACTATGTAGAACACGACTTCAAAATTTTTGGGCAGAAATTGGTAAATTTTGGGAAAAGTAAAGGTCTGGGATGAAATTGGATGTCATTTTCGCAATTTCTAAGTGTGTTTCCTGTTCATTGTGTCTGTGTCGTAACATGAAACCCCGACACTGTTTCTCAGTCGAGTAACATTCAACAGCCAGCATTGAATTACTTAATACGATTCACAAATGCTTCAATTACCATTCGATATCTCCGTTATTGAACTTATGAATACACAATGTTATAAGTAATACCTAAAAAGCCTTTTATCTCCCCTTTTTTTTTAAACTAGTGGATAAAAATACATTGATTTATCTCAAATTTAAATTTAAAAAAAGACACATTTACAGGCAGGCTGATTGCAACTACTTTACGGAGAAGACCTTCTGTCAGATCCAATGAATCGTTCCATTTAATTCAATGTCGAGCCCACTTATTGCTAAACGCAAGTTAATCTTTTTCATAAAGATAGTCATGATGTGATATTTAAACTTTAAAACAGTATAGCATAAGTATTTACCTAACATTCTGAATAAATTAAAAAAACAGCCAACTCAAACCCTGACTGACACAAATTACCAGTTGTCGCAGACAATGTATGATGAATTTTAAAAAAATCGTCTCATGAAATCATATGACCAAGTCACTGAATCGTCTCATTGAATCAGATGTCAAAGTCAAACCATGTATGCGCTACTCTCACCCCCATATAGTTATCTTTAAGGTTAGTATAGTAAACTTACAGCATTGCTATGAAGCCTTTCCCCAGAGTCAGTGCCAAGAGTCAGCAAAGACTATTTATTTTGGCAAGATTAGTGTCTGGTTTGTACTTTTAGATTGCATTGATCTATTTTCTAACTGTTATTGAGCAAAGCAAACAACTAAAAAGTATAATGTCTGAGAATAAAAAGGAAATACAATCTCAAAACTTAAAAAGACCAAATCTTTTTGCAATTATCAAACGATCAAACACACTCCACTGACTAAAACATTTCCCCTGTGGCGGGGGAGGGGAGGGGGCGGACGGACGGACGAAACGCGTAATAATTGTCACTTTCATTTTCCGTATTTCACTGTGTTGACACTCCGGAGGGGTTTCAATCATTCTAGAATATCGAAAAACTAAGACCGAACTCACTTCTAAGCCCTTCTCCTCTCTATTTTGTTTTATTTGCCAATGTTTTGACAGTCCCGTATTTGAGAGCCGCGGCCGCAAGTATGAAAAATTGCTATATATGCTGCCAACCTTACCACGCTAAGAACCTAATTCAAAAAGATGTTTTGAATATTTCAAACGGTAGTAATCGTGAATATAAGATAAACTCCCCCTGTGGGACCTTTAGGGGATGTTCGGTGCAAAATTTGGTAACGATTAGTGTTGTAGTTGCTGAGAAACGTGAGCGTGTACGCTACAGACTCACAGAGGGACAGACGCACGACCAGTCACTTTTTGGAGCGCCCAAACACGGCAAGGGCTCGCTATCGCTCGCCAATAATTCGTAAAATAACTACAAGATTCGTGAAAAGAACAATTGTCATATTTTCGACAAACTTTACTCATAAATTTAGGAATAAATTCGTAATTTTACGATGAAATCTTAATGTTACTGACGAAAGATCGTAGTTTTACTGATAAAATCGTTATCTTACGACTATTCTTGTTTTCTTACAAATCAAGCTTACTTTTATGAATAGTTGCCTGTTAAATCTGTACCACGAACTGAACTGTTTTTTTACAAAGTAAATTGTAAATTCACAAATTGTTCATCATTTTACAAACTGCTTCTTAAATTTACAGGTGAAATTGTTAATTTACAAGTGTGATTGTAAAAGCAAGTCTGAAAAAAATGCGTTTTCGTGCGTTGTTTCCTTACTATGGGGATGGCTCAGTAAATACACGCACGCCTGATCCAAATTATTTCCCCATTGATTGAATAAATTATGATTAATTGTGAATTATGTAAAATTATTACAAATTATTGGTAATTATTCCAAAAAAAATTAAAATAATGAAAATAAAATTGAAATTGTCCGGAAGGACGATCATGCTCCGTAGCGACGCCCGAGCAGCGGCAAGCTTATGTTGATTTGGGTTGTGTCGAGCAGGACGATCACCGACGTGGATTTATTCAAGTCATCGACACGAGGCTAATCACCTGGTGTGACTAATTAAGTGCTGCTCTGAAATCCACGGTATGAGACTTTACGCAACCGCAACATCTGTCGTCTCCTAGCGGACTTCACCGCTACAAACACCACGAACCATCACTATCTATTTGGAAAATTGACAAGCATCCAATATTTCCATAACGGTGCATTACAAATTCAAACGAACGTGACAGTACATGGGTGTCACATTCGTTTGGATGTGACGACATGTGTACTTGGGTACCATGTGTCACATACGTTTTAATGTGACAGTTTGACAGCTGATTGCATGTCACACCCGAAGTAATGTGACAAAGCGGTGCGGTGAGTCACATTCGTTTGAATGTTGATTTTCACCGTTTGTCACGCTCAAACTAACATCGCCGTTTTCACGTGAAAACAAACGTGACGTCACATTCCTTGGCTGCCAGTGCCGTTATGGAAATATTGAATGCTTATCAATTTTCCAAAGAGGAAGTGATGGTTTGTGGTTTTTGTAGCGGTGAAGTCCGCTAGCAGACGACAGAGTTGTGGTTGCGTAAATTCTTAAATCGACTAACGTAGCCTCAACCGTGGATTTCAGAGCAGCACTTAAGGGGGCAGTCTCGTCCCTGTACCCTTTTTGAGGGGGGTTTTCCCCCCCTCTTTTGATGACGATGATTTTTTAAATATACCTCTTAGAGACAAACGGAAAAACCAAATGAAAGAATGGAATTTTTACAACTTTTTAAAAAAAAAATATTTTGTTTGTCTTCAGTTGTAAGGGAGTTATAGGGAATGAACAAAAGCCGACAAAAATACAAAATTTCACTGCGCGACAATTTTCTCCGGAAGTTCTTAACTTTTTGGCAATGGGTTTTGCGGCATCTTGAAGATGAAAAATCCTCTTTATTTTAAACCCTACAATCATCCATATAGCCCAAGGATTACACTTTTTAAAACGAAACCCAAAAAACCTATACAAACTTAGGAACGGTTTTAATTTGGGTTTTCCCCTTGGGCTACATGGACGATTGTGGGTTTAAAGTAAAGAGGTTTTTTTCATCTTCAAGATGCCGCAAACCGATTGCCAAAAAGTTAAGAATTTCCGGAGAAAATTGTCGCGCAGTAAAATTTTGTATGTTTTTTCGGCTTTTGTTGCATTCCCTAAAACCCCCTTACTACTGAAGACAAAACAAAATATTTTTTTTGAAAATGTTGTAAAAATTCCGTTCTTTCTTTTGGGTTTTTACCTTTTGTCTCTAAGAGGTATATTTAAAAAATCATCGTCATCAAAAGAGGGGGAAAAACCCCCCCTAAAAAGGGTACAGGGACGAGACTGCCCCCTTAATTTGTCATACCAGGCCATTACCTCGTGTCAATGAGTTGAATAAATCCACGTCTGTGATCATCCAGCTTGACAAAACCCCAAACCCACCTAAGCTTGCCGCAGCTCGGGCGTCGCTACGGAGCATGATCGTCCTTCCGGACAATTTCAATATTATTTTCTACTTTTTTTGTTTTGGAATAATTACCAATAATTTGTGATAATTTTACATAATTCAAAATTAATCGTAATTTATTAAATTTAATGGGGAAAAAATTTTGGATCAGTGTGCGTGTTTTTACTGAGGCCATCTCCTTACTATATAGGAAGAAAAAATGCCTGAAACGACCAAAATTTGAGGATTAAGTTTGTAAGTTTAAGAATATTTTTGCCCAAAGGGGGAAATAACGGGATGGCTTTACTGTATCCCCGCACGCCTGAACCAAATTTTCTTAATAAATTTTGAAAATTTAAAACATAAAATAATCATCAAAATTCCAAAATTATCTGAAATTACTCCAAAATATTGCTAATTAATTGAAATTTATCAGTATTATTTCAATTAAATTATTATTTTATCACTTTGTTTGCAGTAAGGTAAGGCTTGTGGTTGACTGCTCCCAGGCGGGTGACAGCGTGCTATCAATTACCCAACTAAATCCGAATCTGCAGATCGTGATTGCGTCTGATATTTAAATTTGGGAAACCGAGCCGTCAGACGAGAGGCATATACACCTGAAACTAAAAGGTCCAACCTATCCTAACCAAACATAACGGATTTGTGACAGACCTTACCCTACTCGCGACAAATCAAACTCTAACGCAATATATCTTACTCTAACGTGGCAGATCTCACGCTACTCGTAAGAGATCATTCTCCAAGCAGCAGATCTTACGGTACTCGTTTCAGATCTTACTCTAAAGCGGCCGATCCTATGCTGCTCGTGACAGATCATCCTCTTAGGTGGCAGATCTTACTTCACATGACAAGTTCTTAGTCTTACGCGGCTGATCAGACGTTTCTCGTGACAGATCTTACTCTAACGCCGCAGATCCTACGCTACTCGAGACAGATCCTACTCTAAGGGGGCAGATCTTGCACTCTCGTGACGATTTCTTCAGTACTTAACGCAGGATATTACGTACTCGTGCCAGATCATCCCTGACCCAAAAATCCCCAGCCTCTCGCAATGTAAATTCACCCCCTGGAAGTGTCCACTAAAAACATCCCCTCACCCAAACGTTTGAGATAAAATATAATAAAACTAGGGGTACGCGCCGTTTTGTTTGGGCGCGTAGTAGGCGAGCGATGCGTCTGTATTCTTGTAGAAGATGGGAAGAATATATGCAAAGAAAGGCCAATACAGGGTCAATGTGAAACTCAATTTAAAAGTTTGGTCACAAATTGGTAAATTTGGGGAAAGTAAAGGTCTGGGATGAAATTGGAAGTCATTTTCGTGATCAGCGCACCAAAAACTGCAGGAAAATTAAAACTCGATGTAAAAATTTTGGTCCGAAATTGGTAAATATTTGGAAAAGTAAAGGTCTGAGATGAAATTGGAAGTCATTTTCGTGATCAGCACACCAAAAACTGCAGGAAACTATGTAAAGCTCGATGAAAAAATTTTGGTCCGAAATTGGTAATATTTGGAAAAGTAAAGGTCTGAGATGAAATTGGAAGTCATTTTCGTGATCAGCACACCAAAACTGCAGGAAACTATGTAAAACTCGATGAAAAAATTTTGGTCCAAAATTGGTAAATATTGGAAAAGTAAAGGTCTGGGATGACATTGGAAGTCTTTTTTGTGATCAGCACACCAAATACTGCAAAAAGCAATGAAACACCGAGGAAATTTTGGTCGCAAATCATGTAATTCTAGTTGAAAGTATGGGTCTTCAGTTGTTGGGTTTTCTTAAGAGCGTTTCCTGTTCATAGTGTCATGCCACGAACCCTGACCCTGTTACTCAGTCGAGTAACATTTAACAGCCAGCATTGAATTGCTTAATACGATTCACAAATACTTCAATTACCATTCGATATCTCCTTGTTACTGAACTTATGAATACGCAATGTTATTAGTAATACCTAAATAGCCTTTCTCCCTTTTAGTTTAAACTAGTGGATTTAACTATATTGATTTATCTGCTTTAAATTTAAAAAAGAGACATATTTACAGGCAGGCTGATTTCAACTACTTTACGGAGAAGACCTTCTGTCAGATCCAATGAATCGTGTCATAGAATCCAATGTCGAGGCCACTTATTGCTAAATGCAAGTTTATCTTATTGATAATGATAGTCATGGTGTGTTATTTAATCTTTGAAACAGTTTAGCAAAAGTATTTACCTAACATTCTGAGTAAATTAAAAAAAAAGCAAACTCAAACCATGACCAACACAAATTACCAGTTGTCGCAGACAATGTATGATTTAAATTAAAAGAATCGTCTCATGAAATCATATGACCAAGTCAGTGAATCGTCTCATTGAATCTGATGTCAATGTCAAACCTTGAATGCGCTACACTCACTCATCATATGGTTTTTTTTAAGGTAGTACTATAGTAAACTCACAGCATTGCAATGAAGCCTTTTCCCAGAATCAGTGCCAAGAGTCAGCAAAGACTATTTATTTTGGCAAGATTAGCATCTGGTTTGTACTCATAGAATGTTTAATATATTTTTAACTGTTATTGAGCAAAGCAAACACTGAAAAATATAGTGTCTGAGAATATAAATGGAAATACACTCACAAAGGGTTAAAAAAACCAAATCATTCTTGCAATTATCAAACACACTCCACTGACTAAAACATTTCCCCTGTAGTGGGGGAGGGGAGAGGGTGGACGGACGGACGAAACGCGTAATAATTGTCACTTTCATTTTCCGTATTTCACTGAGTTGACTCTCCGGAGGGGTTTCAATCATTCTAAAATATCGAAAAACTATGACCGTACTCACTTCTAAGCCCTTCTGCTCTTTAGTTTGTTTTTTTGCCAATGTTTTGACAGGTCCCGTATTTAAGAGTCGCGGCCGCAAGTATGAAAAATTGCTACGAGCTGCCAAGCACTGCCAACCTAACCACGCTAAGAACCTAATTCAAAAAGATGTTTTGAATATTTCAAACAATAGTAATCGTGAAATAAGATAAACTCCCCCCGGGGGGGATTAGGGTTCCGGTGCGAAATTTTGAAACTATTTTTGCGGTAGTTGCTGAGAAACGTGAGTGAGTTACGGACACACAGACAGACAGACGCACGACCAGTCACTTTTTTGGGACCCCCAAACACGGCATGGGCTCGCTATCGCTCGCCAATTATTTACTTGTACATTAATTATATTCGCCCGAGTCGTGGGCATAGGGACAGTCAAGCTATGTGCACGAGCAGATTTCGTGCATAGAGAGAAGGACTGCCTATTTACACGAGAAAAGGACGGGACGTGCGAATAAGGTTTGCGCCACTAAAGGCACGACTCGTGTAACTTTGTTTATATTTGCTGTTCGCACTGGCTGTGCTAACGACAATCGTTTAGGATTTGATATTTGTACGAGAAAAACGCCAAGAGGATAATGCAAATTATTGTGCACAAAACTCCACATTTGATAAAATAAGCGTAATCAGATAAGTACTTTTCTGCTTTAACCGTACTAACTTGGATGATACGGAAGATTTTGTCCGATTTTGTCTATTTTAAGTGTCAACAAGTCAACAAGTGTGTGCTTGAACGAAGTTCTTTAAAGTATTTAAAATTCCAGGTACTCGTGCAAACAGTTAAGTTTAAACACTTTGCACGAGCCGTTAACTTTCGGCGCGAACACGGACAAGGTTCTGTGTCTTTCCAGTTCCAGTCTAGAATTTGTATGTGTACCTGTGCTCTGACTTGTTGGACACCATGGACGATTTATCTGTTGAGAATGAGGAAGTGCCGCCGGAAAGAACTGAGCCTTACGTCGGTCAGTGCTTGATGATTGGGTGTCAGCTAAAAAGTTTCTTGGTTAGTATTTTCAATGATATCATTGTGTTCAGTAAGGTTAGGTTTAGGTTCCGTAGCCACTAATTGAACCATTAGTTCTAATGTGTTCTAATTGATGATCTGTTTCTTGCCGTTGTTCAATTTTGACATTTCTGTTTGTAATAACTTTCGATTTTTTTTTGTTTAATGCGTGTCACAGATGCTTATGCAATTAAGAATGACTATCAGTTGGTCACTGGTAACTCTAACACCATTAAGACAGAAAATGAGAAACTGGCAGCAATGGGTCGGAATGACCTGTACAAAGTTGAGCTTGAGTTCAAAAATATTACCCTGACCTGTCCCTGTGGGGGGAAACGGCGGGTTAACAATGGTCGTGGGGAAAGGGAAATTCAATCGTAGGTATTTCTCTGTTAAATGTGAAACATTCTCGTTGTTGCGCTGTTTTAATGTATTGGTCTTTCACAGAACTTGGAAACTGGGATGTCCTGCAAAAGTGCATCTGATTGCCAACAGACGCCAACTTGTAGTGAAAGAGTTTGTTACTCGTCACAATCATACCTGTGACGCACAATTTTTTAAGGCACTACCGAAGACAAGGAGGCTGAAAATGGCAGATCCACAACTCCAAGACACTGTTAAGTTGCTTTTTAAAGCAGGTGTGAAGCCCTGCACAGTGAGGACCGTTCTCAGGGAACAAGGTTCTGGTGAAGTTACTCAGCGTGACCTGGCGAATCTGCGGTAAGTACCTTTCCCTCTGTAAAACTCCTGCTGCTCAAGATTGTTCTATTTTAAATGCCATGATAATTTACAGGGCCAAATGGAAAGCAGATGGTCTGGAGGGCAAAACTCCAAAGGAAAAGCTTGTCGAGACCCTGGAGAAGATAAAAGAAGCTGATCCTGGAACTTCTATCCATATTGGTGAAACTGAGGGGGAGATGACCCACCTTTTTATTCAAACCACAGCTATGAAAAAAAATGTTCAGAAGTATGGTAAAGTACTTTTGCTTGACCATACATACAAAGTGACCAAAACTGAGATGCCGGTCACTGTTATGATGGTGATGGATGGCAATGGTGCTGGCAGATCCGCAGGATATGCATTTGTAGCCAACGAGAAAGCAGTTACTATTAAAATGGTCCTAGAGGCTTTTGTGAAGAGTGTTGGTGAGGAAGTGGCCAACAACATTAAAACAGTGATAATTGATAAAGATTATTCTGAATGTAGTGCCATTAAGGCTGTTTTGCCTGGAGCCCAAATTCAACTATGTGATTTCCATGTTTCCAAAACATTTAAGAAAAAGGTTCAACAGGAGAAACACTTAACTGATCCACAAAAGCAGGAAGTTTCAAAATTGTTACTTGAGCTACGATATTGCTGCGACCATTCCAAGTTTGCTGAGCTCTGTGATGAACTTAAATCCAAAGTTTCTGAAGAATTTTGGAAATATTTTGATGATAACTGGCTGAAATGTGAAATGGCCTGGTCCTTCCGTGATAAAAAGATATCACCAAATTTAGGAAATACCACCAATAATAGACCGGAAAATCACAACTCTAAATTGAAAATGGTAAGAGCCACCCTTTTCTTGAGAGTGGGTGCAGTTTCACTTTTTCTTTCATCACATTTGTTATCAACCTTTTTTTTTTGCCAGTTTCTGAATGTTGACAAAGAACTTTATGAAGCTCTTCTTCTCATCCTTGAAGTAGTTCAAAATAAGGAGGAAGACATTCTCTTTTTAACTACCACAGAGTCTGTGAAAGAGACTTACATCATGCATTGTCATGACCCTGTCATTAAAGAAATTCTAAATGACATGACAAAATTTTCAGCAAAGCTTACAATTTTTGAATTCAAGCAAATCCCAAGTGATGATGAGCTTGAAAAATGGCAGACCACCAACTCCAGCTGTCTGTGCCCACACTGGTGGAGTTACTTACTTCCATGCAGACACATTATGCAATCTAGAAGGAAATCTGGTAATGTTTGGCAAATTTTGTCTGTAGACAGCTTTTATTCACAACATTTTTTAAAAATTTCTTGGATTTTAATTTTACAGGTGCTACAATTCATGATCGGTCTGAGATTGACCCCATGTGGCTCTTACCTGATTCAGACAATGATAGGGAAGAACAAAGTGTGGATTTCGGACAAGGGAGGGTCTATCACAATGTTGTACCCAAAATGATTCCACAAACATGGAATGAAAGGTACACCCATGCTATGTCCAAGGCGAGGGGTCCATCACTCCCCAAAATTGTGTACAATGATTGGAGGTAAAATTGATTGGGCTGATTAAAAGTGACTGTAAAAGACTGTATGAATGGAAATTTTCAAAATAATTGGTAATGATTGTGATTGATTTGAATGATTGGAAAATGATTGGAGGTGATTGGAATTGATTGGAAATTGATTGGAATTGATTGGAAATTGATTGGAATTGATTGGGAATTGATTGGAAACGGTCAAATATTGATTGGCTGCCTGAGCACTAGATGCA